TCTCTCTCTCTCTCTCTCTCTCTCTCTCTCTCTCTCTCTCTCTCTCTCTCTCTCTCTCTCTTCCTCTCTCTCCCTCTCTCTCTCACCATGATGTGAACATCTTGGTGTAGACACTCCACCAAGATGTTCAGCCTCACCTCAAGCCCTGAGGAATGGAGCAGACTTCTACCTCTGAAACTGTGAGCCCTTGAATAAACTTTTCTTCCTCTACAATTGTGCTGGTTGGTTCTTTAAGTCACAGTAGTGAGAATGCTGACTAAAACACCTGGTATCACTTCTGACACCTGGAGATTTTAATAGCATACCTCACTTTACAGTTTATCTATCACAGAGCCATATCACACATTTATGTGATATGTGGCATTTTTTTTCTTATAGACACTGAACTTGACTTTTCTCTCTCAAAAGCAAATTAGAAAGAACATGACTGAAGTCAGGAGGTCCACTGGAGAGCTGAAAGAGGTATACACAAAATTCTCAAAATACTGAACTCTGAATGATCTACACATGATTTTTTATTAAAGTGGGGAAAGGACAGAACAAAATCTGATTTTTTTCTAGTGTCCGTACAGACAAAACACACAAACCCAGAAACATTTCTTCTTTTACCTTTCTATGATCTCTCATTGCATATCTTCTTCCTAAGATATTCTTTTAACTACTGGTCTATATCACCTCATATTTCATCTTTTCTAGAGAAAAATCATTAATTTAAGTCTACCAAACTGGACAGCCACTTAGCATTACTTTCTCAGGTACCAAGTTGCAAGGGAAGCATTTTCAAGTGGGGTTTTCCTGTCTTTCTGCTGAAGGCCAGTTCCAGTTACACTCACATAGCAAAGTAACTGGGATAGGGTGTGGGATTTTAGAAAATAGATGAGTGGGAAATCCTACAATGAGCCAAGATCCTAATAGTTAAACTACAGGGGAATAACCAGAGCTGCCCTGCAGAAAAGAAGACTGTTGATTTCCTGGGAATATTCAAAATTGATCCAATAGCAACAGCAGTGGTGTGCTAGTAAATGTTTAACAAGCAGCTCTTGGGAGGGGGGAAAAAAGCCATGTGTTATGGCATTTTCAATTCCCTGGTGAAAATACACCCACATGACTGATATCAAGTTTCCAAGGGCCATCACTGAATGGGAAGATAAGAAGAAATGCACAAGAGCAAATTATTGTATAAAACTTCAGATACAATAGATAAAAACAAACTCTACAGCATAAATAATAGTAAAATGGAGTGAAATAATTAGAATGCGGGGTTGAGTTTTACCCTGTTTAAAATATAATTTAATTGTAAATTTTCATAATGTAAATTTTAATAATGATTGCTTCCAAATTCATTATATTTTAAAGATGGGYTCTAGTGAGCAGGTACCATTCTTAGGTGCATCATGGCATGTTGCTCTTCAGTGACAATAAAGATATTTTGAACAACAAATGAAACTAATAAATCATCGGATAGAGAACTGTTTCCGGAGGTTCCAAGTGTGCAAACCTCTGTGCTGATCCACTTTAGAAACACTACACAAAGCACAGGTTAGACCATGGAGAGGATAAGAATACCATTAAAGACAACATTGTAGCTTGTTTTCGTATTATGCTTTACACTTTGTAGAAGTGGTGTTTTATGGTACTGTGGGACATTTAAATAGCTRGGTAATCGCATTTTGATTCAGAGTGGATGAAGAGAGTGCTGGGAGCTGCTTGTCAAAGACAGGGGCGGAGGGGTGGAACCCGGAGTGGTGCACGGAAATCTGGAGCGGGGTCGGCGGWTCACGGTTTCCGCTCCCCTACTAGAAACGGTTCCATCGCTGTGCCAGCAGGTAGACGGATATACAGCAGTCCTGGGCTTTCCTTCTCTCCCTCTATTGGGAGATTTGGCTAGGTCGCTGTATTTTCGATGGATTAGAAAGAATTGGATGGAACATGTTCTAAGAGTCCTCTAAACAGCTAAATATAAGAGCCATAACATTCGAATATGCCCTTCAAAGAACAGCTTAGCAGTGTTTTTCTACAGATCCAAACATACCTGTTACTGCAGCATAGGCTCATGCTCAGAGTCTACATAGAAACTCCCTGCTAAAATTAACATCAGCAGTAGTCGTGGCCGAGTGGTTAAGGCGATGGACTAGAAATCCATTGGGGTCTCCCCGCGCAGGTTCGAATCCTGCCGACTACGGGAAGGTAGAATTTTACGCAGAGTTTATTGTTTTACTTTGGAACTGTCATCCTGATCTTACGCAGATAATAAAACGGATAATTTTAAGTAATTCGTGAACAATCGGRACACACCAAGAACCCAAACGGAGGAGTCCACAATGGTAGGGGCAAGAGTGTGCTTGTTACGGCTTGGGAAGGTAMTGGAACGAGACTCGCCAGGCTAGAAGGAAGAAAAGCAAAGCGAGGCAGGGTCACACACGAAATGACGGCTCTACCTTCCAGCTCTGCAGGAAGCCGGTCTTAGACGACCCACCGCAAACTCCCGCGCGAACCCTTCTGCCCAGCCCGCTCCCTCCTGGCTGTCTCCGACAGCAGCACGGCTCRCGCATGCGCGGGGGTGAGCCAAGAMCAGTGTGCGCGTGACGTGTCCTCCCGTTGCCCCTGGAAACCACGCGGCGCTACGGCCAAGGCAGCAAAGGAAAGACATGACGATTCAAGATGGCGAAGGACCTGGATGAGCTCTTGGATGAAGTCGAATCCAAGTTTTGCAGACCCGACCCACTGAGACTGGGCATGGGCGAGCCATCCAAAGGCCACCGCGTCACCCACAGAATCGACCGAAACCGAGCCGAGGCGAAAGAGAAGCTCAGGTTAACGGACKGGAGGGGTGGGCTGTTCTGGTAAAAACCCCAAAGCCGCCCCGCCGCCGCTGCTCCCAAACAGAAGTGCCATTTCCCTCCAGCCCCCTTCGGGTTAGGGCTTAGATCCTCTGTTTCCCACCCTCGGTTCAGCGCCAGTTCAACCCGCTGCCCACAAGGATTTGGGCATCCCTCGGCTCGGCGCAGTCTCCGCCCCCGGGCTGGGCCGGGGAAGCAGGGCCCGCCGACGCCCCGCCCCGGAGAGCCTGGGCCCCGACGCTGTCCTTGCCCAGCACCGAGGCGTGCCAGCCCGCGGAGTCCTAAAGCCCGCCCAGGTGCCCATCTGGCGCGCCTTTCCTTAGCCTCAAGAGGGCAGCGCTGACCTGGGCCCAGTTTTGGCCGTCTGACACCGAGGTTACCCTACCCTGTGAGGTACCCTAACAGAAGGACCTGTTGTTGCGTCTGATGTCTTCACCCCMGCCAGTGCTTGGTCTGTTTGTTAAGGAAGGAGAAAACGGTTCCGTTCTATTCTGCCATTACCCCCATTTTTTTTTAACTCAGAGAGTTAGATGAGATTAGATTCATGACAGAAAGATTAATTATTGTGAACAATATCTGTATTAATTAGCTCACCGAGTTAAGGGACCCAGCAGATGGCAGACATCTCCGTGGAAATTTGGGGACGGTTCTTAAGTTTTCTGGGTTTTTGACCCAAAAAACTACCTTTCAAATTTGCCAGCTTTTTATCCTCCATATAGTCATTACATTATAGGTCACCCTCTTTTGCTGCCTCTCCCCCCACCCAACGAACCCCCAAAAAACACACACACCCAAGTATTAGCATCATGTGAGTACTGTCCTTCAAAGTGATGACTTGGAAGGCCCAGCGGTAACTCAGGCTAGAATCTTTTGCAAATTGCCTCTTGCCTAGAATATTTGGGAAAGGCTTGTGAAATTACACAGAAGCAGCTTTGGATGGGTCCAAAAATGTCATTCTTGCTGTTGTTTGGTTTGCATGTGTGATTTCTAAGAAGTGTTACCCCATTCCATTGCTACCCAAACCAGACTTATCTACAATGACATTTGTTTATAAAAATTCACTCTCAGAAGATAAAAATATTGAGAAGATTTTAAAGGAATTCAAAAACAAAMGATCTCAAAATAAGTTGAGTACCAAGCAGCATTTAAAAAAAAATAAATGTAGAAACAACTAAAATGACTACTTTGAATGGATCCACTCMCATTTGGCTGAATGTATATGAGAATATCACTCTCATTAACTTAAATATTGTATGCTGGAATTCCTTACAAACCCTTCACAGCATATCTACWCCTACTATCCCTTTCCCACCAAAGTGTTACTTTGCAAATTCTTTTGTTTTAATTTGTTCCTTTGGGGAATGGAGAGAATTTATCAAAGAGCTTTCCAGCCCTGTTCATCTTAGGAGAACTAGCATGCAGGCAGATAGGGTGTCTTCAGAGCAGACAGCTCATAATGGAAAGCTCAGGTTCTTTCATTCCTGTTTGTACTATTGAAATTCATTCATGTCTTGTAGTGCCCCATCCCACATTAGTTTTTTTCAGTAAATTTATAAAAGTTACAGTGAATTAGCACTGTTGTCATTTGTGTTAACACTTTTTATCTGCCAAAGTAGTTGGAAATTATGCAAGACAGCAACAAAGACCCTAAACCTAATACCAAATATAGTCCCTACTTGGTATATAATGTCACATATTAAAATTTTTCCTTGAGCCAACATTAATATTTAAAGGCAAGGAAGCAACTTATGTTGTGAATTTATTAACAGGAGATGGCCTACCAATTGTACAGTAAYATAACCTCTATCTTTTCTGTTGCTGTTGTTGTTGTAGCTGGACATAACACTTTATTTATTTTTATGTGGTGCTGAGAATCCAACCCAGGGCCTCTCATGTGCTCAGAAAGCACTCTACCACTGAGCTCCAGCTCCAGCTCCACAACTCCAGCCCCAGCCTGTATCTTTTATGAGTTAAAATACTGAAATTACCTCTTGAAAGRGTAGCTCTGCAGATAATACAGTAAATGATCATGCTGCATCTGAATACCAAAAACAACTGCTAATGTAAAAGACTTTTTAAAAATGCAATTTGTGAAAGTGTTAAAAATGATAAAAAGAAATATGTGATTAGTTTTATCTTTTAAAAAGATTGATATGGGTTAARTAAAACTGCGGTGGAAATAATAGTTCCAGATGATAAGATGAGAACATTTGAAAATAATATCAGGGCTGGATTGGGCTCAGCAGTAAAGCACTTGCCTAGCACAGGCAAGGTCCTAGCACCACATAAAAATTAATTAATTAAATATAAAAAAAGAAAATAATATCATAGCCTGTTWGATAAAAGAGCTGTAATAATAATAGCTAACATTTATTGAGTCCTGTCCATTTGCTAAGTGCTTTTATATGTCATTTAAACTCCACACCCCCCGTGTGGTGAATAATATTATCCTCATTTCACTGACCAAACCAAATAGTTACTTTTCCAGATTCATATTGCCAAATTAACCAGGACATGATATATCTAAATTTAAGTCATATRTATTCTTCTCACTTAATTATGATTGTGTTTATGGTTGGGTTTTTTTTGTAATTTTGAATGTACCTTTTCAGCAGAAACTATATCTTAAGATTAGAATGTAAAAAGCAAGGTAAGAGAGGGAAGCAATAAAAGATTATTAGTAACTGATTAAGATTATTATAGCAGCAAAAGACAAAGTATATTGTCCTCTAAAATTAAGAATTTTGAATGAAATGTTGGCTTTTGTATTATTACTGTTATAAAGCATAAACACACAAAATTGTGTGATCTAATAACAAATCTTATGTGAGCTGCCAGTTTGAATAGAATATGAATTCATCTGACTCTTGAAAATATGGCTCAACAATTAGGTATTAGGCAGCAGTGTCTGGATTTTCTTAAATCAGCTTAAGTTATCTTATCCAAGCAGAATCAAAGAAGGGCTATATTCCTTATGTTAAGAAATTTCAGAGTGCTGGRGTTGTGGCTTAGTGGTAGAGCACTCACCCAGCAGTGCGAGGCCCTGGGTTCGATCCTCAGCACCACATAAAAATAAATAAATGAAATAAAGGTATTGACAACTACAACTAAAAAATAAATATTAAAAAAGAAACTTCACAGTAAATACATTTCTAAAATTAGAGAGATTGACCAATAAACTTGGGTTCTAAAACAAATCATTTTATGATCCAATGAATTTGTTTTACACTATCTAACATAAACTCGTAAGTTATTCTGCTAAAATATTAGGTATATGGACTGTCCTATATTCCATTCCAAGCCTTTCGTCCCTTGATTTGTATGACATTGAGCAAGCTTCTGAATCTCAGTGCCCTTTTTTCACCTAAAAATTGGGATAATAAAGATCTTCTTGTAAAGCCTTAGGACAGTACTTGCCTGGCATTTAGTAAATATTTAGTAAGTGTTCTCTGTTAAACAGAAGCTCTGTGCAGGAACAGTTTGTATTAATAATCTAGTGATGGCTTTGCCTGGAGAAGGTAAAGAGATATTTGAGATATTGTATCTAACACATTGCAATTTTCCCCCCTTTGGTCATTTGATTTCATGACCTTTGACTCTTTTAGTAAAGAGATACAGTTATTTGATTTACAATGGAACCCTTTGTTTATAATATCAGGTCCTACTTAAAATTCTACATATTTTATATTCTCTAAATAAATGCTTGATGTAATTTAGAAAAGTGCATCCCTAGTTTTCTCTTGAATATAATATATAGGTTTATTTCAAGTATGTAATAGTAAAGTACATATGTGAATTTGTATTGATAAACTCTCTTTGTCTCAGCAACTTAGGCTATGGCCATATCAAGAAAAATAATTAACATCACATTATCTTCTGTTATCAACTGTAATAGTGGACTTTTTATAAAACTTCTGAGACAGACATTATCTTAAGCTCCAGGTGGGGAGTTTTGTTTGTGTTTTTCTTTTCAGATCAACAGAAACATTAAAAAAAGAAGATGATCTTGACAGTCTTATTAATGAAATATTTGAAGAGCCCAATTTCAACCAAAAAAACTTTGTAAGTCAAGTGTTTTAAATGTGCATTCATTCTTTCATTATTTCAAGACATTTAAAATAGCATGAAAACCCTAAAGAAGGCACAGTAGCTATCTATAATCCTTTTGAATTCTGAGAAATGTAATTACTTAAAGAAACCATTCCACTTAAAGAGATATATAGAACTGGGTGTGGTGGTGCAGCCTGAAGATACTCACAAGGCTGAGGCAGGAGGAGCACTTGAGACATGGGAAACATCAGTGAGACCCTGTCTCTAAAAAAAWAAAWAAAWMAAWAAAWMAAWAAACCCTGCAACAAAAGAGTTGAAGAGGAAATAAAATATTTATAATATTTGAAACTCACTGTTATGTTTCCCTCTTCATTTCTTAACAAGAATAAGAAATTAGAAAAGCTGTTAGTGTACAAGGTGTATGGACTATTTCTCACCCCARCCTCTGCTCTCCTTTGCATTTCTAAACCGCTTCTCATCTTTGATCTGAACTCACAGACCAGATTATTTGTAATCTCTTAGAACACCTTCAAATGCTAAGCATGTTCCTTTCCCTRTAGGAATATGCTTAGCATTTTAGATGTAGTGCCATTGCTATTACTACATGTTAATATTTTATTAAATGCTTATATATCTTTTTTTTTAAAGTCTATAAAATAACATGACAGCCGCCTAGATACTGAATTAACAGCTGCCCAATTATGGATATGTCTTAATGTTTTTCTGTATTTGCCTCCCCAGATTTTTTTTTTTTTAGAAATGAAAATCAGAGATACAGTTTAAGACCCCTCCAAATCCTACTGTACTGTCTCCCTTCCCAGTGGTGACCACTATCCTTTTCATTCATACTTTTAGATACTTTTATAACTTATACATTAACTATAAAAAAAAWTTATCTGCACACAATTGTCCACTGTGTTACTCTGCCAAGTTTATTTATTCACTGGTGATAAACATTTAGATTATTCCCAGTTGTTTGTTATTACAGACAGTGCTTCATCAGATATCTTTACATGTCTTATTTACGCTTGTACAAGAGTGTCTCCAGCATATATAAAATAAGAAAAGGAGTTCCTAGGTCATAAGGTATATTCATCTTCACCTTTTTGGTACAATGTGTGAAAAACATTTGTTTAAATTAGTAAACCAAACATATGTTTAATTTACAAAGACCACAAAGAAAAAGTATCTAAAACAATTATTATTCTGTGGTATTTTTTTAAAAGGTAGGGAAGATTAAAATAAGACAGGGAACTGAAAATCACTAGGTTACAGTGGTATTAAGGATATAAATAGGGGCTACTTGTATTTTTGTCAGCCAGACTAAAAATTAAATGACTAGTAATAGCTTTTTAAGGCATGAATTTTTCTAAATTGAACATTTTCAATTTACCTGAGTAAATTGCCTAGTTGAACATGTCAACACAATAGCAATATTAAAATATTCTGCAGACTATATCCTAAATGCAGAATAGGTGAATTGTAAGTGCCGAATAGTAATGCTAATTAGTAGTGCTAATTAATAGAAAAAAAGGTACATGGTTTTGGTATTATTCATTAATCATCTGAGCAATTCATTATTTATTGACTACCACAGGGTACATATCTGTATATGAGATATTTAGTTCAAGGTGTTTCTGAAAGAGAAAATGCATACTTTTCTGGTTTGGGATATACTAATTTGGGAGTGCTGATGGAATTCTCAGTGGTAGAACACCTGCCTTGCATACACAAAGCCCAGCGCGCGCGCGCGCGCGCGCACACACACACACACACACACACACACACACACAATGTGCACATTTATACTCAATTTTCCAAGCTTCAAGAATGAAAACAGGTCTATGTAAAATATTTATTGGATGTGGAAAAGAAGTATGATAAATGAGTGTTACATGCCCACATTGTCCTAAGGGGCCATATTATACCCTGAAAGTACTGCTTCTCACCCCAACCTCTGCTCTCCCATTACATTTCTAAACCGCTTCTCAGATCCACACCAGAAAGGCAAGGAACCAATAACAAATATCAGTGTGTCCCCTCAGTCACAGTTGTGAGCCTGGAATACCATGATGATACATGAAACATGCTCCCCAAGACAAAAAGAGACTCATGCACATTATTTTTCAGACTCACACCAAATTTTATTCTGATTCTGTTTAACATTAAATAAAAGAGTTAAGAGAATGTACAATGAAATATTTTTGCCTCCATTAAATTTCCTCACCCACTAGGTAAAATAAAAACATGTCTCTGCATAGTTTAAATTGCCTTTTTTCCATCTCACTTCCTTCTCCTTGGCGGTGGTCCTAGTATGTGGTTGGTTCATGTTGTTTGGTACCATATACCAGTTAACACGTAATAAATGCTTGCTAATGATATGATGYTATGTGACCATATAGGAACTACTGTATGGTTATGACTAGGTAGCTCTGCATTTCCCTTGAACATCTATTGGCTGATACCATTCCAGCTGATCAAAATTAATATTGCTGAAGTTACACAGGAGTTTGGTTAGTTTRTTTTTAGTTCAGATGAGCACTGTTCACAGCCATTAAAAATGAGTCTGAGGGTTTTTTTTTCCTCCTCAATTGAATTTTTCCAGAATGAAGTTTTAAATAGAAAGCATTTCATATTAAATCATTGAACTYCAATATTAACTGAAGAGTTATAAAGTGACTCTAAATCTTAACTTGCTAATAATGGCAGTATATCAATTTCCTAGACTAAAAGTTGCATAGTAATTTCCAAATTCCTCAGGGAGTTCTACTTCCCTGTTGCCTTTAAAGGCTTTTGAACCTTGTTTTTATTTCAGTTATTTAACAATGATGCCACCAAAATTTTTCTGTTAAGTCGTTAAAAAAATCCTTGTTGTAAAGTAAAGAATATTAGTTTTCATGTTACATTTCTCTAAGTTACTCTTGGCCTTTTATTGTTTTGTTAACAGAAATTAAAATCTAAATCTTCAGGTAACACATCTGTCAGAGCTTCCATTCAAGGCCACAGTAAAAGGTAAGTTGAGATGCTTTGATGAATTACACTCTGGTGAACAAACACTATAAGCATAGTCTAGTCTATTTTGTTACCATTTAAACAGTGACACTGAAGAACAAAGCACRGGTTTGGGCCTTCAGGAGAAAGACCTATAGCAATATCTTTATTGTTCTTATGGTCTGTGACCCCTTAGTGTAAAGGAAATTAAATGAGAGATTATTGCTATTGTAAATAATTTTCKGCCATGTTAGAAAAAAAAAGTGTGAACAGTTTCTCAAAATTAATGTTCTGTTATATTCTTTAGTATTTACTTTGTCCCTTACATTATTTGGCAAACACATTTTTCTGTGACTCATTTTAACTCCTGAGTGTTCCAGAATTCTGTACAGGTTATGTCCAATAAAGCAGTGATCCTGTAATAAATACCRCTTCTTTGAAATAGTTAGCTTGCTAGGGAAAAAATACAATTTGATTACAAGAACATAGAGTCAATGAGGCCAAATTAACTTCTCATATTTCTTTTTGTTGTAATTTCATGTTTCTCCATCTGTTGAACACGTCTAGTTGCAGCCCAGTGTACCTTGGTGGAAGCACTCTTCCATTCGGAATTGGAACAAATACTTCACCGAGGTAGAATGTAACAATATACTTTCTTTCTATGTTTTTACATATTGATGCCCTGTTGTTAAAATGTAGTTCTTATCATCTTGTCTTGAATACATTTTATAATGAGAGATTTACTAGCCAGATGTTTTGCTGAAATGTTTGTTATTCTTGAGAGATAGCTGTTAAAAGCTGGATGCTGGGTACAGATTGTTTATTGTGTTGATGCCCTTTTTCTTTTTATTTTGTTTTTTTGTTTTTTTGTCATTGTTTGTTTTGGTTTGGTTTTGTCGTGCTGAGAATTGAACCCATCATCTTAGACAAGTGCTGTACTATTGAATTATATCCCCAGCCCTGTTGATGCCCTTTTCTAAGCCCTACTTGAAGTGCCTGCATCACTCCAACACTAGCTTGATTGATTTTTTTTTTTTTTTCAGGGCTAGGGATTGAACCCAGGGCTTCATTCATGTCAGGCAATCACTCAAACACCAAGCCACATCCCCAGCCCCCTAGCTTGATTTTCACAGGGTACCAAGAGAAGGAGCTTCTTCCCAATGTTGGAAACCAGTGGGTAAAACCTGTGAAGCAGTACAGCTACACAGCTTCAAAGAATGCATTAGTCACAACGACTTGGCCATACAATTAGCCTGAGAAGCTACAAGTCTGTGTTACTCAAAAAGTTCTCTAGACTGAGTCGTATGATTGCATGTGGACCACATTTCTGGAGGGCTGTTATACTAAGGGAAGTAGAATCTAAAAAGACATTGTTGGAGAGTTGGTAGTATTAGCTTACTTCCTAGAAAGAAAGACTGTAGGACTAAAGTGAAATTGGGAGTTTGGAGAGACCCCAGACAGAAACACCAGGCAGCAAATAGGGTAAGTCCACTGGGGTGGTGCCTGCTTTAAGTGCTACTCATAAGAATTGATAGCAGTTGAACCATCATTTGTTGAGGACTAGCTAAACAAAGAATTAGGGATACAAACTTGCTTAGAGCAGAATATGGCCTTGTTGCCATCAATCTTGTGTCAGCTCAACTGGACTCATCGTAGTCATTTCCAGAGCCATGCCATCTCTAATCCAGGCAGGCTTCTGTCAAGTCACTAGGAACTATAGCAGCTTCCCAGTTACCATCCACTTCCAAATTCTCAAATTTCACGCACATAAAGCATTCAAGATAACATCCCCAAAGTATTACTTTGAGCACTTCTCCTGTTCACAAGGCAAATGAGTTGCCATTTGTCTCACATTAACTCTAAACTTCCTATTTATCAAATTGTACCCTTGTGCTTCCTCTTTTCTCTTTAGTTCCTTCACCTGCCATCAAAGCCTGAGTCAGCTATTCCACTTACACTAGAACACTTGTCATCCTCTACTTGCCACTTACATTTTTTTGCCTCTGAGTATTTTTACATAGTTCCCTTTCTAATTATATAGATCCTGCTTTAACTCACATACTACCAATTTGTTTTCTCGTTCTATCTAAACTTTTTTTTTCTTTTTTCCAAGTGCACTGAATGTCCACACTAAGCCTTGTACTAGTTTACAAAAAAAAAAAAAAGTAAAACACTGGTCAGTAAAGGAACAGATAAATAAGCAAATGATACCTGGGTATAGCTCCAGTGGTAGAGCGCTAGCCTGGCATGTGCACAGCCCTGAGTGTACTCCCCAGCAACACACACACACACACACACAAAAAAAAAAAAAAAACCAGCACATGATTACACTGGGGCGTAAAGAGGAAGTGCTCCGATGACAGAACACCTTCATCACTCTGCCACTCCAAAGTTGCCAAGCCTTGAGAAGAGACTCTATTCTAAAAGCTCGGTTTGCTTGTCCCTAAAAACTAATCATGCTTCATGGAGATATTGTGAAGATGAAATGAAAGAATATAATATATAATAGCAGTGCCTTCAATGTAAAAGACAGCTAACTACTACAAGTATGCTGGTTTGTAACTGTTTATGTCTTTCTGATCCAGCGGTCCTGCTTTCTTGCTGTGTTCTCTCTCAGGGGCAAGAAGCCTATATTCTCCTACTACTTTTCCACTTTTTCTCAGGAAATACATATCAATGTTTACTTATAGATACCTTCTGATTTTAAATAGGATCTTTTAAAATGCTATATTATACTTTATTTCCAAAGATTAATATTACATTTGACTTTTATATGTATAGTCCATTTGTATGTGTGTGTGTGCACACGCATGCATGTGCACACTTTGATAAAGTTCTGCCATATAGGTGTCTTGTTTTAGATGAGATTTCAGTAGACAAAAGAACAGCCTATTTTTATAGCTTGCAGGTCCTATTTCATTGTGTTGATGAGTAAGGATGCCAAAATGTATCAAATCCTGTTCCTACAATAGGAGATACTATGTGCTTACATATGCACAGATAAATGTGTATATTCATAGATCTTTTCTTCCTCACCCATCACAAAGATAAAAATGATCAGCTGCTCCTTTCATGACACAGAATCTGTACATATAAAAAAATACATTTATTCACATGCATTAAAACATTCTATATGTGAAATCCTTTCTACTTTCCAAAGAACTTTTTTTATATCTTTTTATATATGCGTGTTGGTTCACCTGGCTTCACAGGAAAAAAAAAGACAGATTAACTAGAGCAAAAATTTTTAATTCCATTTATAAATGAGATTGAGATTCTGATGTTAGGTTCATTAAGCACRTGTTAGCCACCAGCAAGGTCCTAGGAATTCAGTTAATAAATTATGGTGAATAAATAAATGGTTATTTCCCTGCCCTCAATAAGCTTCAGTCTAAGTGAGGAAATAAACTTTAGTTATTTTCACAAATGTACTTAATTTCCATCTAATGTGTGTTATAAAGGGAAAGAATGGGATGCTATAAGCATAGATAATGGGCACCCTAACTAATATGAAGGACTAGGGAATGCTTCCCTAACAGATAACATTTAATCAAACCACAATATGAAAAATGAGGAGTTAAGCAGAGAGGGAACTATTACAGCCAGAGGATAAACCTTGTTATAAGATCCTTGAGATGGGAAGGAGCTGGGCATGTTGAAGGAAGAGATAGCTGCCAAGTGGACTATAGCATGGTGAGTGGGGGAAATAATGGCTCCTAATAGAGCTGGAGAGTCCAGAGGCATTTGGTTTGGGGTCCTAGAGTCCCTTGAAGAATTTTAGAGAAAGTATGTTCTATAAGCAGTTGAAGCCATTGGGGGCTTTGGGGGTGTTTTGTTTGTTTTTGTTTTGTTTTTGGCAAAATAGTGGTGACATAATTTGATTTCTGTTTTGAAAAAAAAAAGTCATTTGGGCTGTTGTATGCAGCATGGCTTGGAATTTGGACGGTTAAAGATAGAAAAGCACTCAGGGAGACTAGTCAACAGACAGTAGGTRCAGTGATCTAGGAAAGAAAATGGCAGCTGTGATGTAGTGGTGGCCGTGGCTATATGGGAAAAGTATAAAATYTGAGATATTTAGAATATAGAATTGGCAGAATTCTGTGACTTAATGGCAATAGTAGATAAGGAGGAAAGTTATTAAAAATGTCTCCTGGGTAGTATAGTATGCTTTGCCCAGGGTCACATCAATTTTTACAAAGCAAGGACTCAGATTGGTAACTTGATTCCTAACCCATTATACTTTCTAGTATACCAGTTTGCAGCATGTAGTGTATGTAAGAGAAAAGAATCTTAACTGCTTTTGCTATTACAGCTGCTCTTTTTTTCAAACTGTTCAAATATCAAGACTCCCTAGTCCCAAAGTGTCAATCTGATAGGATTTACCTGAGAACCAGTATCCTGGCAGAAGATGATATTAAGCTGTATTCTGGGCATTCCCACCAGAAACATCTTAAAAGCCAATTCTACTTAGTAGGGCAAAAGGACAAAGCTGTTGGTTTGTCCTTTATTGTGTATTCCCTCCACATTTTAGAGGGGAAGTCTGGCAATTTATCTTTCACTGGAATCATGAATTTATATTAGATAAGTTTTTATTTACTGATGGTCCTGATTTACAGTGGTTTAACTTAAGATTTTTCAACTTTACAATGGTGCAAAAATTATACATATTCAGTAATCATACTTAAGTTTCTAAATTTTCATCTTTTCCCAAGCTGGTAAGTGGTGTGACTGTCTTTCAGTGGCAGTGACGGAGCCACAGCTCCTGGCCAGTCACTAGAYAAGAAGCTGAACAGCCAATACTCTGCAGTATACTGTGGTGCTGAGCTGTGATATTTGGTGGGCTATGTGTGTTAAATGCATTTTTAACTTAGCATGGGCTTATCAGGATGTAACATCTTTGTAAATTGAACAGCATCTGTTTATACTTATGAAAGAGAAATATATTTAAGCCCAGAAAATAAGCACTGATATGAATGCCCATTGTATAAATTGAGTCTATTTGTCCTATTTATTTATTTGAGTTCTGGATAAAGCTCTGGATTGGGGATAATGCTAAGTACTTTGGAGTAGAAAATTTTGAATCTTTTGCCCATTTTRAGGAAAAGAGAAATACACTTGAAAGCATGGTAATATTAATAGTATGGATAAAAACCAAGGCAATATTTTCAAGCCAATCAAAGTTTACTCTATTAATTATTTCTAAACTACTTACAAGACTAAATTATTCCGTAGACTAGTACTCATTATGATCTAATAGAGWGAATCGTAGCAGTGGAATGATTTCTTAGCTGCAAGTTAGTTTTATTTTTCTCACAGGACAGTGTTTGTGGGAAAATATGGTAGTGTGAATAGATTTGAATAAACTACTAAATTTTAAATTAAAAAGCTGTATTTAACATTATAGTTGAGATTTTACACATACAAAATGTCAGGAAATTCTAAATAATAGTTCCCACAACAGCAATAATTCATCCAAATTGCACATATGTATTAAGGCATTAAAGTTAACACTCTGTGCAGTCATGTAATAAACTATATATGCATAAGAAAGTGAGTTATAGTAGCTTTGGGAACCATCATTTTGCATTTCCTGACTTGTACATTTAAAATCTGAGTTCAAATGGGTACCAATGTAATTGTGTTAAATTTCCATGTATACAATACAACTGCATAAATTGCTAACAGATTAAAAGAAATAAAGAATTGCTTTTGAAACTTGTATAGGTTTTTAATGTTTGATTATCATTATTAGTAATATTTTTAGAAATATGAAGCATTTTCAAACTTTCAGGCCAAAAACTATTTGCAGTTTTGAAATTAACATATTTAAGTTTTAGATAAATAAGTGGGAAAAATATAATGATGGGTTTTGTTTCATTTTTGTTTCAGAAATATTATATGCTTATTGAAAAAATTAAATTTTAAAATATATAAGAACATAATAATCTCCGTCCTTCCTTTTCATTCCCACCACTCATGAGCCAGCCAGTATTGGCTGTGTAGTATATAGCTTTCTACCATGTTCTTACTATTTTTTGCCATGTTCTTACTAACTTCTACCTCTACAGGAACTTACCACCTCTACAGGAAATTTTCTTTTTGGTTGTCTTTTCTCAAAATAGGGTCATGCTGTATCATATGTTAGTAACTATGTACCTTGCTTTGGGTATCCCTCCAAGTCAGTAGATAAATCTAATAAATTCTCTTTGTCAGCTGCCTAATGTACCTTATATAAATATACTGCCCGTTATTCAGACTTTTCCTTTTTATGTATAGGGAAGGGAGATTGTGGGGATTGAACACAGGGCCTTGCACATGCTAGGGAGGTGCTCTAGCAGTAAGCTATGTTCCAGCCCAGTCTTTCCCTTTTTGATATATACTCAATTAATATCCTTTAAAAAAAACTTCAACAATAATAATGTAAACATTATTAAGATATGTACTTATATATTAGTGCTTTTATTTATATGTAATAAGTTTCCCAAAACAGGATTAGTAATACAACAATTAGATATAATTCTAATTTAAAACATAATGCCAATTTTTTTCCCAAAATGTCATATCAAGTTACATACCCACCAGAAATATATGAGAGTGATGATTTTAACTTAATTAGTTGAAAAGCTGTATTTCATGGTTGCTTTACATTTTAATCCTTTAGATATAATATCTTAACTTTTTAACAAATACTTTGTGCCAGACTTTACCAAAATTAACTCATTATGTCCTCATAATAGTTCTATGAAGTATGTAAATATTTCCATTTTACAGATAATAGAAACCAATTCACAAAGAAGTTCAGTTACTTACCTACAGTTGCACCTTAGTAAATAGTGGAAGTGGCATTTGAATCCAGTTGCTCTACATCCGGAATCTATGCTCTTTACTATTCTTTGCTGCCTATAYTAATGTGATGATGATTTTTATAGATTTTTTTCTTTGTTGTCATTTATAAACATTTTTTGTATAGGACAGTGTTGTGTTGAAAGTGTTTTCAACTCATTACYGATTTTTTCACATTTTTATATCTTAAAATTTCTTTTCTTTTAATTTTTATGATCAAATTTGTTTGTTCTAGCTTTTAAACACTTCAAAGAATTGAGGTTTCTTTAAACTACAGAATTACTATAAAATGAAACTGTTTACAACAGCAACTCATAATTCTTTTATACTTGCTTATATTGTCATTTTACTCCTAAAGTTACTATATAGTATATACATAATTGTGTTTTAAAATTGCTTATCACTTCAATTTCTCAGATATTCATTGAGTACCTATTATGTATTAAGTATCATTCTAGCAGTTTTGCCCTCTCTCCTCAACACCATCAAAATTTCACTCTACATTGCATCTTTGCCATCAATACAAACATGCTCTTTCCCTCCCTTCTTAAAAATCATTTTCTTTAAATGAGAAGTTTTTAAAGAAACTACTCTGATATACCTTCTCAGTGAGGTCTATACAGACCATCTTATTTAAAATTGCAACCCATCCCCTCCTGGTATGCCTWGTTTTCTTTACCCTAATCTATTTATTATTTCATTGAATTTTCACCTTTTAACATACTGTATAATTTAGTTTTATCATATACTAGAATCTAAGCTCCATGAAGACAGAATCTCACTAGCACATAGTAGGTTCTTAGTAACTAGTTTTAAGTGGGTAAATGAATGTACACATGCCAAGTAGTGGGGAATCAGAAACAAATAAGACACTGTCCCAGCACTGAAGGAGTTTGTGGGAGATATTAATTGCAACGTAGTGTCATCACACATTCTTTGATCAGAAGAATCCCTAGAAATTTCAGTAGGAAAAAAGTTAGCTTAAGTGAAAAGCTCCCTCAGACACAATTTTAAAACCATTGAATTGAATTAAAACCACTTTATGTCTGTACAATATGTATGTATGTATGTATCTGTCTRCAAGATGTCAGTAAAATAGGTAGGTGTGTACAAAAAACTGAAAGTTTAGAGATGTAAACAATTATTAACATCAGATTAATCTGTATTTTTCTGTAGTTTATTCAATAATCTGTAATATGTGGTATGTCCCAAGAATAAAACACATATTTTCATATTTAAACATACCAATAATCTTTAATACACACACACACACATATATATATACTTTTTAGTTGTAGATGGACAAAATGACTTTATTTCATTTATTTCTTTGTGGTGCTGAGGAGCAAACCCATGCCTCATGCATGCTAGGCAAGCGCTCTTCCACTGAGCTGCAACCCCAGTGCTAATACACATTTCTTTTCTCCAAACAGAGCATGTGACCATCTGCGTTGTATAGCCTGTGATTTCTGGATAGTGAACTACAATGACTATATGTGGGACGAATCATGTGATTATCTGTTTTTTAGGTATGTTCCCAAAGCACTTCACTCTATGAAAAACAGTACTAAGGACTTTATATTTTTTGTTTTGCTGTATTGTCTTTTTTAAACTTGGCCAGATCATGTGACCTGCACCTTTTCAGTCCATCTCTTCCTTTCTATCTGTCTGCTGTCAGCCTAAACAAAGATGTGTTACTTCTTGATGTGAATAYATAGCCTCCTCACTGATTTTCATGCCTACAGTCTCTTATTTCARACCATCCTTTCCTTGCTCAGAATTAAAGCATGACTCTGAATATGCCATTATTCTGCCCAACACCCTTCTGCTCAGTGAATAAAGTTCAAATTCCTTAGCAGTTAATTAAGACCCTCGTTATCCAGCCTTTGTCCAGCTTTGTCTTTCCACAATATACTTTTTACCTTTGCAATATTTTACCTCCATCACAGTACTCAGTGTCCACTCAGTACTCCATTTCCTCTGACTGTGCAAGCTCCTCACCTCCTGGGGGCTGACCACCATTTCACCTACCCAAACTCTTCCTGTCCYTTAGGGACAATTTATCATGCATCTTCCTGATTCCCTCACCTCTCTCAACTTGGAAGTAAACTATTCCTTTCCTTTGTGTCCTCAGCTCTTACTGTCATATGAAATTGAAGATCTTAGATTGATGGTTACCTTCCTCTGTATGGTCAGAACAATGGCTTCTTCATTTTTATAATTTGTACATTTTTATATACTTCCAAAATACTTAATATCATTAAGGTGTTACAAGTTATAAAAGTGTATTTGAACTAACTATATATTCATATTTGCAAATAAAATTGAGTTAAAATTAATAAGTATGTGTATCTTGCATTTTGGGCCTCCCCGAAGACCTGTGTGTAAACAAAGACTGTTTTCAGATACAAGTAATCAATATATATTATATTACGTTTCAGTTGCATAAAGTAAAAGATGAGAGGGCCAGGGGTGTAGTTCAGTAGTAGAGCATGTGCTTWGCATGCACACAACACCCTGGGTTCAATCTCCAGCACCATCAAAAAAGAGGGAAAAAAAGAGGATGAAGGCTTCCTACTCCACCTCTTCTGGCAGCCATCGTCCTCAATAAGTTCATTAGCATCTCTCMTAATTTATCAGTTTTTAAACTTTTTCACTTCAAAGACCACTCACTTCAAAGAACAACTTTGAATCCTCCTCACTCACACATGCACTCACAMATACATACACACAAATTCAATATACAAACATATGGGAAAATTATAATTTGGGAAGTTACACAGTTCCCACCCTAGCCCAGTCCCAAAATCCCAGGTTCAGAACCCCTACTCTTAGGTTTAGCCCATTTTTTATTGCCAAAATCAGAAAAGTTAGCTTAATCAAGTTTTGGTTCGCTTTTCTGACTTCTCTGATATTTACTGTCTTCTGGCTAATCTAATAAGTGATTAATAATCCCTGAATGTTACRAAGATGGACTGTAAATTTTTATAAAACCATTATAGGATAATAAGATGCATGTAACATCAAAACAGTGGCGAGCACAGGCATAAAGTAAGCAAACAGGTGACTTCATTGGTACTTGAGGAATTTACAGTGTCTCAATCTGAGTAAAAACACCACTTGGTTTAATCTAGATTTTTAGCAGCGTGGCTTAAAAAAAAACTTGTGTGTTTACATAAAAAATAAATACGAGAAGATTTATTATTCTATTAAAATTAAGTAATTATTCTTCAAATCAGTGAAAAATATGATCTCAGCCCTCATGCTTAGGAATATTTGGGAGATAAGAGAACAGAACAAGTAAACAGTAAGGCCATCTCAAGCAGACATAGATCATTGATACRGTATTTATTTTGTACAGCTTATTAGCAGTTCTTTATCCAAAAACATTATTCAGCACCTAGTTGTGGCACTCTTGGGAACGAGGCTCATAAAGTGAAGAGGACCCAGTTTCTGCTCTTTAATAATTCTCACTTCTGAGAGGGATACATCACAAATAACATCAGAATTTTTCAGAGATAACTGACTACTCTATGGAAACCAAGCCAGTTGAYACTCATGGGGATTAATGGAGGGATATTGTGGTAATCAGTGAAAAAGAAATAAGGATCCTGGATCATGATAATGAGGTGGGTAAAGAGGAGCAGATGTGATGTATTTGAGAAAGATTCTAGAGGATGTCCTGGCTATGGAATATGAGARACAAGTTTCATTTAGATGAGTCCTATGCTCCGTCTTGGTTTAAATAGAAGGACTATGATAATGTCCATTGAAATTTAAGAACAAATTTAAAGAAAGATGCTATATGTTTGTTTATGGGAGCTATTAAAAACTGTCCTGGAGCTCAGGGAGGAAATGTCATCTGTAGAGTGGTAATTGAAGCCACGAGATGGACAGTATTACCCACGAGGGCCAACTTGGAAGACTGTCAGTGAACACAGAGGTAAGAGGTAAGGATCATTTTGTTAAGGAGGAAACACTGTGAGGTTTATTTGAGAAGGAAAGGGCAGACATGGGTGGGGACAGGTATTTGCGTAGAGGGGTTCCAAGTGTGTTGGAAAAAGGAGCCTTTTGATTAAGTACCTATACTTAATCTAAATTTGAGTRGACTATGCTTTAGTGTATTTATAAATGGTGGATTCAGTTTCTGAAATTAGACTTTTTTTTGTGGGGAGGGTACTAGGGATTGGACTCAGGGGCACTCTACTACTGAAGCACATCCTCAGCCCTATTTTGTATTTTATTTAGAGACAGGGTCTCACTGAATTGCTTAACACCTCACTTTTGCTGAGGCTGGCTTTGAACTTGTGATCCTCCTGCCTCAGCTTCCCAAACCACTGGGATTACAGGCGTGCACCACCATGCCCAGCTGAAATTAAACTTWTT